AAAAGGAGGTAAATTCAAAAAGTGCTACTTTTAAAGGGGTGTTTTTTAAATTCTCCCAATATCATTTCTATTTTTATCATTAACAATATTATTGTTTTATCAAAAAATACTGAAAAGTACTAAAGAATATTACTATCAAAATTGATTAATTGAACAATTAATCAACGAATAAATTCAAAAGATATGGATGTATGCTTCTATTGTATGATTTAAATTAATAACATGTAAAAATGTCATAAACATTAAAATTTATTTAATCTATTTTTTATAAGTAATAAATAAATTAAAATAATTAAATAAATATACAACAACCCGCGCATATGCGCGGGACATTATCTAGTGATTCCTTAATAAGAGGTATCTCTTCTATATGAAGGGAGGAGGGATAAATGAAAGAGCCGTGACTCTACTGAATCCTTCCCAAACGACCCAAGTTCTTGGCAGCTTCCACAACTTACTAATTTAGAGTTTCTTGATGCAACATTACATTATACGATGATGAATAAGAGACGATCTTTATTTGATGCAGTATTATTACTTGTCGGTTGATTTCACTTGACAAATATAAGAAACCAAAGGACTTCATTTTACATATTGTTATCTCACTCTCATAAGAATAGAAGAAGTGTATAATACAACATAATAGTAACTTTTGAATACATATATAAGTCTCTCCGGTTTGTGAAAGGCGAGGACCTTAAAACATTACCAAGCCTACCCAAACCAAACAAAAACATGGAGACTAGCTAGATTAGTAAAACCATCAACAAAATAAAACTATGACAAGATCCTCTACAACTTGTTAAAAAATTCAGTTGCAGAGAACAAGTTACATGAACTAAAAGACTTTTAAGAATCAGATAGTTTGCTAATTGCATCCCAATCAATCTCCACTGAAGGAAACTTCACAAGCCCGAAACTTCCGGTCTTTTCAAACTCGTAGTCCGAGAAATCTAGGAGTTTTATATCTGAGGACGAATATCCCACTGGCAACATGTTCTCATCCATTCTTCGTGACCCATCGGAGAACTCTTCTGCCTCTAAGTGCTCTGTTTTAGGCAGGAAAAGCTCTGTTTTTGGCAGGAAAAACTCTATTTTATCTGAAAATGAGCAAGTCTCCTCTGTTTTCGGCAGACAAAGCTCTGTTTTTGGCAGGAAAAACTCTGTTTTATCTGAAACAGAGCAACTCTCCTCTGTTTGATCCGAAACAGAGCAAGCATCCTCTGTTTTTCTCAAACTCTTGCAAATAGCTTGGAGCTTGGCATAGACAGAGGAAGGCAAAGAATTAACGTCTTCGTGTATGAGGTTGGGGAAGTTAAGCTTCGCCATATCTCCACGGAGCTGAAACGCAGCTTGGTCATAAGCCAAGGCAGCTTTTTCAGCGGTTTCGAACGTTCCGAGCCAGAGACGAGTCCGGTTCTTGGGTAAACGGATCTCAGCTACCCATTTTCCCCAGTGCCTTTGCCTTACGCCTCTGTAAAGATTCTTGGCTTTGGAGGAAGAAGGAGGTGAGAAGCTCTTCATTGGGATCGGGTTTAAGGAAAGGTTTGAGATTGTGTTGCGTCTATGGTTAAGCTGGTTCTGAATCTGGTGAATTTGGTATGGTGTGAGCTGGTTTAAACCGAGAGGCTTAGGTTGGTTAAAACCAAAGGTTTCGTTGGATTCATGGAAAGAAACAGAAGCAGTTTCCATGAGAGGATTGAAATAGATATCTTTGTTGTTGCTTGTAAAGATATCTAAAGCCGCCATTGATGAAATCGTAATCAAGAAAAGAGGATGAACAGAGAAGGGGGTGGAATTGATCGAAACGAAAGTTTAGGATAGAATAAAGAAAAACTCAAATTTTTTTTTAATGTGAATTGTGAACTCACTGCTTGAAGCTCTAGGCCTTTTAAAGCTGCTGCGTCCATTGAATTCGTCTTACAGAATTTTTATAGAAATAATTCTCACAAATGTCAAATTATATATTTTTGAATAAAGTATTAGTAATGGTCAGCTGCAATTATTATTATGTTTAATTCTTTGAACAAAGTTAAGCCAATAGGAAAATGACATGTTTACATGTGCTTTGGATCTAGTCGTTTCAAGAAAATAAAAAATGTGTTTTTGTTGTTGTTGTTGTTGTATTTAGACATGTTTTTCAAGTTTGAACACATAAATACATAATGTATATGACTCACAATTGGAGAATAATTTAAAATGTTTTTAACCAAATGTCTTGTTTGATAGATTAGTTTTTTCATTTCACAAATTTTGATATTTAGTGACCTGATTATGTAGTTTTAGGTTACTATATGTTTTTTTTAAAAAATTAAATATGATAACGTTCAAGATAAAATAGTGAAGTTAACACACATGGTTGGTTGGGGAGTTAACAATTATAGCTACGTGCTTTTCACATTCACCATTCTTTTATTTTAAAAACTTTTATTTTAAAAACTTTTATTTAATATCATATTTTTAGAAAATTATACCCTAATTCTAGTAATTGTAAGAGACAGAAAAACAAAACAAAACAATTGTCAAAATGTTGATTCTAGGATGCATTGAAAGGCCAAATTAACTTGCCTTTGAACCATTTTAACCATCAAGCGAAACGATCAATTTAAAGTTTCTTCAAATGTGGCATCCTATTATAATACATTCAAGGTACTAGCAAAAAAAAAAAAAAAGGAATGGGTTATCATACCACTATTATCCATGTCAATGTTGGTGTGACAAAATAAATAAGGTCTACAAAAATAAGAGATTTTACTATGTAATTTATTATGTGGTCCAGTCATATATAAATTGATCAGGAAAAAAAAAAAAAAAAAAAGAGAAATCAATTCTCATTTGTTAAATTTTATGTTGCATATTTGATTATTTCTGAACCAACAGCTTTTGTGGTTATTAACCTTGTTCCAAATCTAGTCTTGGTAGTTATGGTTCAATTCCAACTTGGAGGTTTTGGCTAAAACGATATTGGTTTCTGTTTAACGGGATCATAAGAAGACATGTTTACACTTGAAGATTAACGACGAGGTTAAATTGGTTTGTTCAATGCAAATTATTGAGTTTTTTTTCATCTAATAAAATTGATTGATTCCAAAAGCCTATAAAGTCTTCTAAATTACACCAAACATTTTTAATCATAAAACTTGAAGAGTTAAACACAATAATACACGTTGAGTGAAAAATATATATTTATTGAAATGTACTTAATAAGTAAACTAGTTGACTTGCTTAAATGTCAATTCCTCCACCACAACTAATTCTCATTGGTCGAGATAATTTAAACAATGCTAAAAGTTCACGAACCATTGAACCCTGACCTAATTTTAACTAGTCAAATATATACAATATTATGATTATTATAGTTCTTATCTCTGGTTACACGGTTGTTAATTATTTCATAAAATAAATTTATTAAATTTTGTGTGTTCCTATATTTTCTTTTGTATATTTTATTATGTTTAAATCATTGTTTTTGGTTTTACAATAAACTAGGTCCGGACCCGCGTTACAGCGCGGAGGAAAATTACCGGGTTTTTAGTCCTTTGTACGTTGCGAGATAATTTTATTTGTGTTTGCTTTACTTTATTTTCATCAGTAATTAAATTTTATGATTTTTAGATTGTATGTGTTGGTTTCGAATATGTTCAAAATTATTTAAATTGTATGGTTTTAGTTGGATTGTTAATTTTAGAACAATATGTGACATATATACATGAAAAAAAATATTATACAATGAATCATTTTTAAAATTTAGGGATTGACCCGCGGTACACCGCATAATCATAAATACATGATTTTAACTTGAACCTTTCATGCAGTTTTGTAAAGTTGCAAATCTCTAGAATAAACAAATAAAGAGCCAATGATTTCTTATTTCTTATCGTGTTAAAATGTAAAATCTGTGTTGATGTTACAATTTTCTGGTAGCAAAAACTTATTTATATAGATCATATTTTCTTAGGGTTAAATTGAAAAAAGATTAGTTTTATAATCAAGCCAGAAATTCGAAACTATTGCCAAATAAATATTAAAGATGGTCATAAACAAAAAAAAAAATATTAAAGATGGTTGAAAATGAAATATCCCGTAACTGCTGTGAAGATCATAGTTAATATAGGAGAAAACTATACATCGAAATATCAATATAGGATATTAAAGGAAGAATTTGTTTTGAAATATTATGGATAATTTGATAATGATTATTTTATATTTAATTTATATTTCTGATTTTTAGGTTAATTTGTTAAACCAATATACAAAATAATACATTAATGTATTTTTTCTTAAACAAATTAAGATTAATGTACTTTCCCAAACCGATATTGATAGTTTAATTTGGTAGATTTCGAAATAATATATATGGAAACTGGTATTTAATATCCTTAAATTTTTAGTAAGATCCAACTGAAAATTCCGGGTTAATTTTTTTTTTAAACCCGACCCAAGTAGCATTTGTACTTCTCTTTTACTATAGTAGGGATATGAAGCTATAATTGCATTATAAAAAAAAATAACATAAACAAAAAAAGGAGTGGCCTATACAGGGATCGAACCTGTGACCTTCGCGTTATTAGCACGACGCTCTAACCAACTGAGCTAATAGGCCATTTTGTTCTTTAGTCTCCAGTATCATTTATATTTTGTTTTTACTATCTCTGCTTAGCTAACATAAACCTTTGGACTCTCCGCTCTCTCTCCTTCTTCACCTTTGAGGCTTCACATTACACATAAACATCTCACATTCTCTCAAACTCCCTTCACTGTTGTTACTTGATAACAATGGCTACTACTACTTCCAACTCGGCACTCTTCCTAAGCTCTGACTCACTGAGTCATCATCATCATCAGCCTCTTCTGCATCTCTCTTCCTCCAGATCTCACTCTGTTTCTCTCCCTGCCAGCAAACGATCCAAGTCCCTTGCGCTGCGTTGTTCTACAAATGGCGATAGTACCTCATCCGAGAAAGACACCCCAATCGAACTCAGTTAGATTCTTTCTCAATCTCTAATGTTTCTGACATTCAAAGTCTCTCACTTTCGAATCTCAATCTGTGTTTCTCTTGATCTTCAGAGTACCCTGCATTCCCAACGGTAATGGACATTAACCAAATCAGAGAGATATTGCCTCACAGGTAAAGTGTAAAAAGACAACAAATTTCGAGGATTTAATGTGTTTTCGTTGAACCCATGTTTGAAAGTTTGATCCTTTTGACGTTTCTTGGATGTTAGGTTCCCGTTTCTGCTGGTAGATAGAGTGATAGAGTATACTCCAGGTGTTTCAGCTGTAGCTATTAAGAATGTCACAATCAATGACAATTTCTTCCCTGGACATTTCCCTGAGCGACCCATCATGCCTGGTGTTCTCATGATTGAGGTAATAGTAATAGTCGTTTACTTGTTTTAAAGTTGCAAACTTTTGTCTTCATGAAGCGCATGTGTAACCTATCAAAAATGCCCTAAGGTTGGTTTTAACAATGATGATGATCTGCTAGTCTGATGGTGGTCTTGGATTCTGAATCCTGAGAAATTAGTGTGAGATCTTCATCTGGTTGAGGGACTTTAAGATTAGTTTTTTTACCTTAAAAGAGGTTATGATTTTGCTGATTTGATATAGGTTTCGAATAGAGATTGGCCTGAAGATGCTATAGATGAAGGATCATTTCCATAGTCGAGTTAGTATAATAGTGTGAAAAGGACTTGAAGTATCACTTAACTGAAAAGTCGAGTTTGCATATTGCAGGCGATGGCACAAGTGGGAGGTATAGTAATGCTGCAGCCTGAAGTAGGAGGTTCTCAAGATAACTTCTTCTTTGCGGGTATAGATAAAGTGAGATTCCGAAAACCAGTGATTGCAGGAGACACACTGGTTATGAGGATGACTCTTCTCAAGTTCCAGAAACGGTTCGGGCTTGCTAAGATGGAAGGTAAAGCTTATGTGGGTGGCGCTTTGGTGTGCGAAGGCGAGTTCATGATGGTTTCTGCTGGTAGTTCTTGATTTCACCCAATAATGGTTTCACTTGCCACATGCTGGTCTTTTAATGCTTCTTATGTTATTCGAAAAGTAGACATGACCAAGCTTAATGATTTGGACATTTATATGAGCTTCTTTTTTCCCTTTGTGTCTGTCTTCTATTGATGACAACTCATGAGAGATGGATACAAAAAGTTATTGTGAAAACCCATGTTCATAGATCATAAATTTGGTTATAATACAAGGAGACACACAAGCATAGTTACTTTTGATTCTATTACACAGTTGATCCAAAAGGGTAGCTAATCTTCTCACCAAATAAACCGATCAGATCCATATCACACAAATTAACCATAACCTCCCCCATATTATATCTCTCACACACATTCATAAAATAAATCTACAAAATGATATATATAACGAAACAATGGAGTAGCATATATGTCTTCATATGTCCTAATGTCTTAGGTCCCCTTACTTCTTCCTCATCTTCATCCTTCACTTGTACTCCATGATCATGTTGTTCTCCGGAGCAAGTCCCACGCAGGCCCTAAAGATGTTCTCCAGCATTGCCCGCTGCTTTGACAGAGCATTTACCACCGGCGTACCAGGTGGTACAAGAGGTGCCTTTGTGAGGTAACTGAGTATGGTAGCTACTGGGTGGAAAGCGTGAAACTTTCCCTGAAAGATAAAAGATTCAAACATTAGCAAAATTTGGTTTAAAGAGATTTCTGTGTTTCTCAGGTACTAACTTGCTCACTGAATACAAACCTCTCCTTCAGCTTTGAATTGGATCCTGGTGCTGAGTTCAGCGAGAAGAACAAGATCCAGGATAATTGGAGCAGCCAAGAGAGAGTCCTCACAAGTGTTATGCATCACAATTGTGTTCTTCCCTCCCATAAATATCTCGGAGGTGTACTCGTCCATTGCTCTTTTACTATCCGCAACATATGGTACATACTGCCAAAAATTCAGAACAATAGCAAAATTTAAGACCTATGAGTAAAAAAGAAAGGAGCAATTGATGACTCTGGCCTCTGATTCATATTCAAACCTTGATGACAACGACATGGTCAGGGTGTTCACCGGGCTCAAAGAGAATGCCATTACTAGCCACCATGTCGTCCACGACATTGCTCTTGGAAATCTCCTTAGAACGGAAAGTCTGTGGTGCTGAGAGGTTCATGCCATCGTTGTTTCCCAAATGATTATAGCTCACAATTGAAGTAGGCTGCCAAACAAAAAAAAAATACCAGTCTTAGTGATAAATCACCTTTTTCAACTTACAAGAAATCCCCAAATTAGATTACTTGACAAAAAAAGGATTCATTCTTTTACCTTGATGCCAGCTCCAACAAGGAAATCGACCAAAACAGATTTCATCTTAGTCTGACCACTCTTGAAATCATCTCCACCGATCAAACAATTCCTCGATATAGCCAATTCGATAAGACCAGGGACAAAAGTATTCTGAGGACTCCCGTTGATGAAAGGGATGCCTTCAAGAACACAAGCAATGGCATACAACGTAGAAGGCGAGATCTCAGACTCATTCCTTTCAACAGAAGCCATTAGATTCTCCGTTGTATCATTAAGCCCTTCAATCACATTGCTATAACGCTCTGTGTTGGCTGTCCATAACACAACCAACTTATCAACTTTGTTCTTCTCCTTAAACTCCCTATAAAGATTCCATCAAACCAAACACCAAAACACATTAGTACACTAAACTAACTAACAACTCTCTGTACATATGTAAAGTTATAAATAATTACTGTTACCTCATGTCCTTGATGATGTGATCAATTTGTTCCTTCTTGGTACCTTTGATCACACTGTTGGCACGTGACCCTTGATTCGCAGCGATGAAATCAGGGTCATAGATTCCAGGGAGTGGGATCATGTTCTCCATGTAAGGTCTAAGTTGTTTCTGCAGGTCAATGTCAAGAACTCTGGCTCTAGCCATAGCATCTGCTAAGTTCATGTCACTAATGTCCCAACCACCAAACACAACATCATCTGGATTCACCATTGGAAGGAGACTCTTGAAAGGAGCATAGATCTCTTCACCATTGTAAGATCCAACACGAATAGAAGAAGCTTGAGTGAGTGAACCAAAGTAATTGGCTTGTTGCACTTTGTCTTTAGTCGCCCACGAGATTCCTCTACAACAAACAAAGTTTAATCTCAAACACCAAAATCTAAAATCAAACCAAAGATTCCACAAAGTTTGTGTTTTTTTAAAAAACTCACTCTTTGTTAGCAATGACACCAGCGGTTAAGGTTGATCCATTGTTTCCACCCCAACCAACAAGCATAACCCTATCCACCACAAAAGATCATAAATCGAGAATGTGAATGAAAAGTTCGGAACTTTAACACCGACCCAGTCACCCAGATGAATTTGAGTGGAGAAATCGAAGAAAACAAGTTAAAGATTGAAACTTTTTAAGGATTACCCTAATTTGGGGACACGAGTGTCTGTTTTGAAATCGTATTTGACAGTCTTTGGTTTGACGACCCATTGGTATGTACCGTTACGGTTCTCATGAACGACCTCTGTGGTTTCGTAATCGTACACTGAATGGATCTCATTCTCTGTGTACTTCACGTTCGGGCTCTCAACTTTGAAACTCTCAATGAACATTTTTTGTTTTTTGTGTTTTTTCTCTGAAGCTCTGTGTTTGGTGGTTTGGTGTGTGGTGTGATCTTGAATCGATGAGAGAGCGATGATATATAGACGAGAGAACGTAGATGGAGGGACACGTGGCGGTTTCTAAGTGTTTAGCGAAGGTCCTTCCACACACACAAGAGAGAGCACAAGTGGAGATGGTTCGAGCCCAGTCTAAAAGAAGGCCCAGAGAGACTTGAGGGGAATGCTAAGCCACAAGTGTGGTTGTGAATTCGAGAATGTGAGAGACACGTTGGAAGCTGGGTCCATACACGTGGCGTGATCAACGTGAAGACAAGTTTCTTTCTTTGTTTTGTTTTGTTTTGCTTTTTCTCTCAAATCTCTCTATTTTAATGAATCCGTGATTATGAAGATTGAAGAGACATAAACTCTCGAAGGCTCCCCAGGGATGAGGAAGCAGTACGAAGCGGTTGTTGTCGTGGGGACGATGGGGTTTTTACAACGACATCGTTTTCGTCGCCGAGAGACGCGTGGCATCCACGCGATCTGCTGTGTGGGATTTGGTCTTGTTGGATGGACACGTGGCGAAGATGTGCTGTCACGTCTGATGAGAGCGCGTGAGTTGGGGTTATTAACGGCTCCGTTAACGGTAAAGTAGCCCAAGTGATTCAGTTCAGTTTCGGAAACTCATAAAACCACTCAAAAACCAAACAGTTTTCGGTTCGGTTCGGATAAAATCTAAAATCCGTATGATATCCAAAAAGAAAAACAAAACTAAATATAAAAACATTACCTACGATTTTTAGTTAAGATCGGATCGTGGTCTGATCATGTTTTTATGGGTTTGATATAGATATTTGTGTTAGGGATTTTGGTTAAATCGGGTAGAATGGTTTCTTAATTACAAAGTAAACCAATTGGTATCGAACCAAAATCTTTCCGAGTCTTTATTCGGTTTGCCATGAATGTGGTTTATATATATGTCAGAGACGAATGTGTTGTGGGAGAGTTATCTATCGCAAAAGCGTATGTGGAGCCATTTCTCCAAGTGCATGCATGTAGCTATATTAACTTGTCCATATAAAGAAGTATAGAAATCCAAGTTTGTTCACAAAAAAGAAAAAAAAAAGAAGCATAGAATCATTTTTACAATTGTACGTCTATGATCTTGTATGTTTAGTTGTTTACTTACTTGTACATGTTTAGTTTAAACGGTGAATAATGTGTTCAGATAGTTAAAATCACGTTAGAGGTTAGAGCGTCATTGTCAAAAGAGAAGTGAATAATTTGTGGAGTGTGGACCTTGTGTGAGTGGACTGTACATGACAAAAACATAAGGCAGCAGCCGAAGCAGTGACCACAAATACCAAAAGCGTGATTTGTGGTTAAAGCAAAAAGCTAATAGAGTGGGGTTATAGTATTATTACTTATTTTATGTAAACATGAGTGAGTGGTCCTTTTTAAAAAGATTTTGGCAGTTGAACTTGAATGTTTTTTTTTATGTCTGAGTGCATACAATTCAGGACAGATCTGCATGGCGTTGGCGTACATACAATTCGAGTGGAGGAGACATATCAATCCTAGACCATATGTACGTTTTTTTTGAACTTTTGTTAACAAACAGTTTCTTCCATTTTCAGCCACTTAGCCTTGGCCGTGTCCGTTTCAAGCCACACAACTAGCTTTTGTACTCTTGTCTGTTGTTTGTCTTGCTTTTACCTGTTTGCTTTATGAGAATATGTGTTCGTATCTGAATCTGATTAAATCATTAATTGAGATGTTTCTAGAGTTAATTAGTATTTTGTTCGTTGATTAGTATATTATAATACTTTTTGCTGGACACACAACTTTTGATCACGTTATAATTATTCACATCATGATTACAAATTTGATTGTTAGAATCTGGTGTGAATGATTTTTAATAATGCTTTTTTGAGATCTTTGTTAGTTTCAATTCAAGCAAACTTCAAATCTTATGAATTTACAATGAAAAGAATGGTTTATGACTATTGACTACATACATGAACTTGGAAGGAAAGAACAAAGCATAGATAATGGAGTTTTCTTTTTTTATTGGATTGGACTTTGGAGGCAAAGCTGATTGATAAGAGTTACAACATCATAAACAATCGAAACACACATTTATGTGTCCGAACCTTTACACGGAGACAGTGGCACGGAGTGGCTCAAGGGCTTTCTTGATCTTCTCTACTGCGGCTTGTAGAACGTCGAGAGATGTAGCGTAAGATATTCGAATACAACTATCGTCTCCAAAAGCATCACCAGGAACCATTGCAACCTATAGAAAACAAACACAGACCCAAATTTATTAGAACGAAACAAATCCAAATCTTTCTTAAGACTAAGTTCAGGAGCTGTATTGTACATCTTGAGGGTAAAGTAGAACGTTTTGTAGTCAGAGTTTACCTGAAACTTGTCAAGAAAGTATAATGCAAGAGACGACGAGTCATTAATCAAACCAAAACCTTCAGCTTCTGATCCATAGTAAGAACTAAAGTCAATGAAGAGATAAAAAGCTCCCTGCAAGTAAACAATGCCAACAGTCAAAAAGAAGAAAGAAGAAACTAGCTAGTTATAGCTATAAGAAGAAGGTAAAGAAGAGGTAACCAGCTAGTTATAGCTTCAAGATAAGAGATGAAGCACCTGAGGTTCAGAGATTTTAACACCTTCAATTTCACTTAAGCTTTTAACCAAGAAATCTCGTCTTTCTCTATATGCTTTAACCATCTCTGCAACTGTTTCTCCTCCAGCCTTCCCTAACCCAAGTGCAGCAACACCTGCTTTCTGAGAGATGCTACTAGCTCCTGAAGACACCTTTTAACAAAATGAACCGGTTTCATCTCATGATTGCTGCTTTTTTCAATAATAATTTAGAGAGAATATGTGTATATATACATACCTGGCCTTGTAATTTACTGCAAGCCGCCACTATATGTTTAGGACCAGCAAGATATCCAAGCCTCCATCCCGTCATTGCGAAAGCCTTTTACATGTCATATGATCAGCAAATAATTTGATCTGATAACATCAGAAGCAACTCAATGAAAAAAGTGTTACCTTTGAAAAACCGTTTATTGTCATAGTTCTTTCATACATGTCTGGTAAAGAAGCAAAGCTTGTGTGCGTTGCTGGCGCATAAATAATGTGTTCATATATCTCATCCGAAATCACCTATAAAAGAAATGAAAGAAACATAAGTATTGTCAGCTTAAGATAAACAAATTAAAAAAGATTTGAGTAACAATTTACGCTATATACCATAAGCCTTGGATGCTTAGCAATGATCCGTGCAATCTCTTCTAGCAAACTCTTGGGGTAAACAGATCCAGTAGGGTTAGAAGGAGAACAGAGAATAAGAAGTCTAGACTTTTCAGTTAATTTAGACTCGAGATCCTTTGGATTCAATAAGAAATTATCAGAAATCTTGGTAGGAATAATCACAGGTGTTGCATCAGCCAGTCTCGCCTGTTCTGTGTAACTCACCCAGTACGGTGCAGGAATTATAACCTACAAAATACAAATTCACTGTTATAAGCAAAATCATATCGAGAAAAAACAAACAAAAGACCTCGAAAGAAGAGTTGCTATAATTACTTCATCGCCGGGAGAGCAAACTGCAAGCACTGCTTGTAAGATACTTTGTTTAGCTCCATTGCTAACCAATATCTGATTGGGTGCATAAGATAATCCATTCTCCTCTGAAAAAAAATAATACAAACATCTTGAGTCCATTCCAGCACAAAGGAACAACAAAGCAAAAGTGTTTTCTTTTTTACCTTTTAACTTGCGACATATCGCTTCTCTGAGTTCCGTAGTACCTGCATTCAACGAATACCTAGTGAAACCTTCTCGAATCGCATTGACCCCGGCCTATATGAAACAACTGATATCAGAACAAACCAGAGAGATGGACATAACATAACATTCCAAACAACTTGGAGAAATGTATTAACCTCAGCTACAATTTTGGGAGTATCAAAATCAGGTTCTCCTGCAGCTAGTCTGATAATGGGAACACCGGACTGAACAAGAGTGGCTGCAAGATCGGTGATAGCCATAGTCTTGGATGGTTTTAAGGATTGAACTCGAGGGCTAAGTGACATATCTACTGATGATGGCAGAGCCTCTGCATCATTTGGTTTGGCCATTGCACATATTCTAGATGACATATTCCCCGACTTACCGTACCTAATCATCACAACAGAGACAAGACCCTAAATCAACTACATTGAATCTACGAAAACACTAATCCGAAAGTTCCAAACTTTGAGCTGTTATTCAGATATCTAACAAGAGAATAGCTTCTAAATCAATACAGTGATCATAGTAACGAAATTGAAAACAAGAATAGAGACGAAACTCACGAGAAGGAGAGGCGAAGGGGTTGGAACCGAACTGACCCGATTGGCTTCTTTGAATCTGGGTGTGATTCGCTTCTAACGGCGGCGGAAGCGGCGGAAATGACTGCGGCTGAGCTCTGAGACGCCATTGGAGAAATGGGTTGGTGAGAAAGAGAGATAAAGACTCGACCTTTGAGGTGGGAATTTGTATACGACAGAGGCGAAGACAAGAAGGTGGGAGGAGTTGGTGGGTGCGAAGTTAAGAAAATGAAATATAAATAAAAAACAAATTTTAAGTTAAATAAAAATGAGAAATTGCCACCAAACCCTTTATGAATCTGCAAACAAGAGTATCGAAAGCTAGTCGCCGGCGGCTGATGATGTCACCGGGAAATCGAACTAAACCGGAAATACACAGATATATTGGTTTGTTCAATCCGGTTTATTTCGATTTGAATTTTTTTCCTTTACCGTTTTTGCTTAGAATCAATCAGAATTGAAAAAGAAAAGATAAATTAGAGAGAGACATGACGAGTCCGCCGCATAACTCCACCGCCGATAACCAGGTTTGTTTTCCGGCCATTACTCAATGGTGATGTTTATGTTTCCCGTTCTGATTTATCCATTTTCCTCAGCCGTCCGATGGAACCGGCAAGGTACTCAGTGACGGTCAAATGACGGCTAATGAGGAAGCTGAATCGTTTAATGAGAAGTAACGATTTCGTCTCTTTCATAAATCATAATCTATGTTTATTTACTTGGGAAGAAGCAATCTTGAACCGGATTTGCCTGATTTTTAGGGTTTTGTCTGATTAGTGTGGTTCTTGAATGTTTATTATTACAGCAAGAACTGTTCAGGGCACAAGCTAGAAGAAATGACTGATAAAGATGATTCAAATTACAAGACAGGACTCCATTACCATCAAGATAAGGTACTTGTCTTATCCATTACTCCAATAGAATAAATTATATATGAGCTTTTAGAGATCCTCATGTTATGTTTTGTATGTTTGATGTGTAGGGGAGGATGAGTTTGACATCTATTGTGGCGGTGAAGTCTCCTTCATCTAGTGACGCTCCCATTAGGAGAACCATTGATCTTGGCCATGGAAGTGATCTCATATACATTCAGAGGTTTCTTCCCTTTCAACAATCTTGGACTTTCTTTGATTATCTCGACAAGCATATTCCTTGGACCAGGCCTACCATTCGCGTCTTTGGTCGATCTTGCCTCCAGGTTTTCCCCACTTCGTATGATCCTGCTGGATTCTATCTGTGTATAATTTTGGTTTGTGGCCTTTTGATCCATATGCATTTGCCCACCTGTAGCCTAGAGATACTTGTTATGTTGCAAGTAGCGGATTGACTGCGCTGGTGTACAGTGGATATCGACCTAATGCCTACTCGTGGGATGATTTTCCACCTCTTAAGGAGATTTTGGATGCTGTAAGATTGAAACCACTGTGATTTGTCCACTATGTTCTACTGGTTGTTGGAACTAAAAGTTTCTCTTTTGTTATGTCAGATTTTCAAAGCGCTTCCTGGAAGCAGATTCAACAGCTTGCTGTTAAATAGGTACAAAGGTGCCAGTGACTACGTTTCTTGGCATGCAGATGATGAGAAAATTTATGGCCCAACTCCCGAAATTGCTTCAGTCTCGTTTGGATGCGAACGTGATTTTGTGTTGAAGAAAAAGAAACATGAAGAATCTTCACAAGGTAATAATGGGACCTTTGAGTCAGGACATCAACAGAGTATTTATTTCTTGCAAACCAGGAACAGACATTTATTTATTTAGTACTGTGTGAACCTGCAGAGAAAAGAGGAGAAGGTGGACCGGCGTTGAAGAGGTTAAAGAAAAGCAGCAGAGAGAATCAACAAAGTTTGGCATTGAAGCATGGGTCGTTGCTAGTGATGAGGGGATACACTCAAAGGGACTGGATTCATTCCGTGCCAAAGCGTGCAAAGGCAGAAGGCACTCGTATCAACCTCACCTTCAGGCTGGTTTTGTAATTACGAGGTATCATAGACAAGAAGGTGGGCTTGTGTTAAATCTCCATTGACTAGGCTTCTCTCATTACTTATGTATAAAGACTAATCTGTGTAGACATTTCAAGAAGCTGTACAAAATTGAAGGGGGGGGAAAGAATGATAAAGAAGAGTGGCAAGATCTTGTCTTGTGCCTGCCCCTCTCTGTTAAGCAACATGACTGTTCAATATCTAAAGTAAGCCATGTCTCTGCCTTTATCTCCTTGTTATTTTCTTGAGGCGGGGCTAACAAGTCGGTTTTGTGTTTTTGCAAAGACATAACCATTTTTGGTCAAAAGGGAGACAAGGCTTGAGAATTCGCTATGTAAACTCCTTTGTGGAGTTACATCTATATGGATTAAACTCGTTTACTCTTGCATAATTGTCTCCGTTTGATACATTCGTTGTTAACAACATCAGGAGAGGCAAGTTGATTGGTCATAATAATGATTGTTATTCTGAGTCTGGTGTTTGCGTTGTTCTATCTTCTTCAATAGTCCTCTAATTTTATGGCAATTAGGTCTCTTGTGCCATGCACAAAGTTGTAACATATTTTTTGGTCTAAACCGAAACGTTTTGGATTAAACCATTGGTTCGGTCGGATATAACCGAGATGGTCTTCTATTACTCCCATGATCTCTCCCCGGCCCTATTTAAAACGTTTCAATTCCAATCTTTTTTACTAGATTGGACAACTTTGATTAGGGTTAGAGGTTAGGTTAAGTCGAATATTGGGATGCATTGTTCGTTTCTCTGAAACGTGTGTTTTCAAATTCTGTGATACAGAAGAAAGGACATGAAGGAAGATAGAATAAGCCAATTACCAGATGATTTGATCAGTCAGATACTTTCTCATCTACCCACAAAGGATGCTGTCCAGACAAGCGTTTTGTCCACCAGATGGACAAGTCTCTGGCTTTGGCTTCCTCGTTTGGAGTTGTCGTCTTGGAACATCCCAGATTACAATGCCATGAGAAGTTCTGGTGACAGATTTTTTGATTCCAATAGGGTTACATCCATAGACGTGCTCAAGTTAAGTATTGTTTCCGGTGAATATAGAAACATAGTTAACGATGTCTCTTATCTTACGTCATGGATTGCTGCTGCGATTAAGCGTAGGATCCAACATCTAGAAGTTAAGCGTGAACCATATAATTCTACGTATCTTTATGAGATCCCTTTAAGCCTTTATAATTGTGACAGACTGGTATCCTTGAAGCTTGAGAGAGCGGCATTGGCTAGTGCCGAGTTTGTTTCCTTACCTTGTTTGAAGACTATGCATTTACGCAACAATAGATTTCCTAATGAAACCACTTTCGAGGCACTTGTTTCATGTTGTCCTGTCTTAGAAGAGTTAGAGATTTTCGATTTTTTTGATCTTCTTAAAGTCTATCGGGTGCATTCTCAGTCACTGAAGAGGTTTGCTTTCAGACGGTTACGTTCAAAGAAGTTTTATTTTGTTCCTGGACTTGTCATTGATGCTCCTCGGCTATGCGGTTTGGAAATATTGGATAGAGTATCGAATATTTGGAATATCATTATAACAAACAGTCTTGGGTCCATTGCCAAGTTACATATTACTCTCAGCTTTGGATTGGGGGTTGACAACGAAGAAAGTGATTCATCGTGGAGTAGTCGCATCCGCAGTTTTTTGTCCAAGATCTCGAGGGTAATGGATATGACCATATCTGCAGAAACTTTCAAGGTATATATATTTACTGGATATGCACATTTAATCCCAATGAAAAGTTTGTAACCCACTAATCACTATACGTTTTTGTCTTGTTTCAGGTCATTCATCAGTATTCCAAATTAGAACCGCTGCCACCATTTGGTTACATGACACGCCTGTGCCTTCGTCTCCGTACATCCGAAGTGAAATGGTTGCCAACATTCCTTGAGAGCTGCCCGAATCTGAAATCTCTCGTCTTGGTAACTTATCTTTGTTGCCATTTTTCTCATCCCTATCAAGTTAGTATCATATTATGTCATTGTGTTTTCTCCTTTCCTTTTTTCCTCAGGAACGGGATGATAGTATGTTAAGGGGAAGTGAACATCTGCCATGCGAAGAGATGAATCAAATCAGTTTTGCATCTGTGCCGGAGTGTTTGCGATCATCTCTCGAGTTTGTTGTATTCGAATTCCTAGGAGCTGTTGCTGATTTTAAGCTAGGAAAGTACTTCCTAGAGAATTCGGCAGTCCTCAAGAAGCTCACTCTACTTTCGTATTCATATAATGCAACTAAAGCTGAACTCTTCAAGAAATTCCTCAGATTGCCAAGACGCTCTCATAAATGTGAAGTCGTCACAATTTGATTGGTAAAGGTTTTATGATATTTAGTGTAGAGATAACTAAAATATGAGTAGTACTTGCTATTTCCTAATAATTGGTTTCTAAATTTCAATGATCAAACTATACTTGTGAAGTTTCAATCATCAATCTAATTTACTACTCACACGATTGAAAATCATGTGAAACAGAAATAAAATTAGCACAAGAATTTGCTTAGTTCACGGTTCGATTTGAAGTGCTTCGTCTCGCCAGACGTAAGATCCCAAATCATATTCTAGAGAGTACTCAAAGAGTGAGAAACAAAGCATAGACACTTGATACACTAAAAAGTTTCACCAAACAGAGCATATTCTAAACAGAGGACACAACTTCCTCTGTTTACATAAAACAAAAGATGGATTTTATAACAGCAAATCTGACAAGAACTCTCAGACATAAGCTTCTCTAAGAATCAGATGTAAAACTACACAGAAAAAAAACTCATTGCACCAAATCATTTTAAACCAGTCAGAGAAGACTCGATTGTTGCACACAACTTCCTCTGTTTACATAACAAAGATGGATTGCATCGCGACAAACCTAACAAAATCTCTCAGACATAATCAGCTATAAACTACAAGAATCAGTGGTGTGAACACCAAATATAGTAAGACCTTCCAGAACAAAATTTAGCTGTCACGTAGTTTACCTACATGAGAACACTTCGAAAACACACAATACAATTATACTAATAACACTTGAATGTCACAAATAAATAATTCAATGCAGTTTTCTGATATTCAAAAGTTTACAATTTAAATGGAAGATGATGTTATACAAAGAATCACATCATGTGTAAGCATGCGTTGCAACAAGGCTTTTATTCTCACCACATCAGTCCTTCGTAGAACTTACAAACAAAACTAAACCCAAAACAATTTGTATCGCAAGCTAAACAAAAAACATTAAACTTAGCAATCTGCTCTAAATGATATGAGCACAAACATTAGAAACAGAGTCATAACACTCATAAAATGAGTTAAGACAAACATTATACATGATAACAACATCTAACATTTCATCCAACTGTGGCTGAATCCCAATAACATAGAACATAACAAGAATAGCAACAAGAAAGCATAAAACTATAAAAGTAACATGAAAAATATTGTAAAGAGGCCATAATATTTACAAAGTAATGAGAACTGATGTACATGCTAGTCAGCCTCAACAGTAAGAAGTGATCAGTTCTATATATACATATATAATAATCCATCATCAATCATATGAAACAATGTAAGAGGAAACAATATAACCATTTAAGAAAGAAAAAAAACATGTCATCAGTGAGAAATCTCAACAAACAAGGGGCATAAGTTTATAACAAGAATACAGAGAAGGGCATACAATATATTTCCAGAGAGAAGAGAACCGAGAAGTAACAAACAACAAGGTCTAGTCACCTTATTTTACTCTCACCAATTCACTCTCCACAGAACTTTGACGAAAACAAGATAAAGATACTATTAGAAACAAAGTCATAAGACTCAGAAACTGAGTAAATGCAAACTATATATGATCATGATCGTAACATGAATAATAACCGAAGGAAAGCCATAACAAGAATATCAAGAAGAAATAATATAACTACAAATGAAACAAACATATTCAAAATCAGATACAAAAGATTTAAAAAGCAAAGACATCCATGTGTTATTCAACTTCAACCGTAAAAAGTGGTCAATTTAATAGACCAAGTGTAACAAATCATCATCAATCATAGGAAAGAAAGTTAGAAGGAAATCATAAAATAAGTATTTAAACTGAAAGAAGCATCAAGCTGAATAGTATTTAAACTGAAAGAAGCATCAAGCACCAAGAAGCATCAAGCTGAATAACTTAAAACAGAATAGTTTGATTTGGATTAGAAATCAAACTTAACAGTAACAGCTTATAGGAATTCAATCTTCCTTCATGGAGAAAGTATGCTAATAAGGATATATACATACAAGAAAGAAAGAAACTTAAGCAGAGGCAATATGCATGATTTTGAAAGATATTCCAGTTCTTATAATGGAAATATGAGGAAGAGTAACCTGAAAGTCTTATGCTGATTTTTAAGAGCTGAAGAACAGCCACCTGCAAAGAATATGTGATGTTAGAAGATGTATGTAAGTAGTTCAATACTCCTAATGTTTACACAACATGAAATTATTAAACGACGAAAAACCAAAAAAGAAGAAGATTAAGCTTAAAAGCAATAGTACAATGAAACATAAGATATAGAAGAAATAGAACTTCACATACCTTATCTCTCATATGCAGAATATAAATTAAAAAATCCACATGCTCCATGTATGTCATACTTCTACATATTGATCCTGAAAAGATATTTTAAGCAAGTCAGAAGGTTAAGTAGTTACCTGGTTTACGTCAATAGAGTGCGTCAAGCTAATTACTTTTGGGTCAGATGACTAAACCCCGAAATCAATGGGAATCTCATTTGACATAAATTACTAGGAACCCAAGAATTTCAAAATCCGGGACTGTCTCATTTTTCTTCTTCCACCAGGGACATGGACATCGAGACGAGGCATTTATTTCAGCTCGGTATCAAGAAACCCGAGACTTGACAGAACAGGAACTGTCTCATTTTCATTCCAACTTCAGGGACATATAGAGAGGTAATTTAGATTACCTTAACCGAGACGAGGCATTTGTTTTCAGCTCGGGGACTAGAAACCCGAGACTTGACAGAATGGGAACTGTCTCATTTTCATTCCAACTTTAGGGACTGGGACATATAGAGAGGTAATTTAGATTACCTTGACCGAGGCATTTGTTTTCAGCTCAAGGACTAGAAACCCGAGACTTGAGAGAATGGGAACTGTCTCATTATCATTCCAACTTCAGGGATAGGGACATATAGAGAGGTAATTTAGATTACCTTGACCGAGGCATTTGTTTTCAGCTCGGGGACTAGAAACCCGAGCCTTGACTGAATGGAAATTGTCTCATTTTTTTTTCCAACTTCAGGGACAGGGAACTATAGAGAGGTAATTTAGATTACCTTGACCGAGGCATTTGTTTTCAGCTCGGGGACTAGAAACCCGAGCCTTGACAGAATGGGAACTGTATCATTTTCATTACAACTTCAGGGACATGGACATTAAGAGAGGTAATTTTGATTACCTCGAATGGGATGAGGCATTTGTTTTCAGCTCAAGGACTAGAAACCCGAGACTTGACAGAATGGGAACTGTCTCATTTTCTTTCCAACTTCAGGGACAGGGACATATAGAGAGGTAATTTAGATTACCTTGACCGAGGCATTTGTTTTCAGCTCGGGAACTAGAAACCCGAGCCTTAATAGAATGGGAACTGTCTCATTTTCATTCCAACTTCAGGGACAGGGACAAATAGAAAGGTAATTTAGATTACCTTGACCGAGGCATTTGTTTTTCAGCTCGGGGACTAGAAACCCGAGCCTTGACAGAATGGAAACTGTCTCATTTTCTTTCCAACTTCAGGGACAGGGACATATAGAGAGGTAATTTAGATTACCTCGAATGGGACGAGGCATTTGTTTTCAGCTCAAGGAGATAAGGACTAGAAACCCGAGACTTGACAGAATGGAAGCTGTATCATTTTCATTCCAACTTCAGGGACAGGGACATATAGAGAGGTAATTTAGATTACCTTGACCGAGGCATTTGTTTTTAGCTCGGGGACTAGAAACCCGAGCCTTGACAGAATGGGAACTGTCTCATTTTCTTTCCAACTTCAGGGAGAGGGACATATAGAGAGGTAATTTAGATTACCTTGACCGAGGCATTTGTTTTCAGCTCGGGGACTAGAAAACCGAGCCTTGACAGAATGGGAACTGTCTCATTTTCATTCCAACTTCAGGGACAGGGACATATAGAGAGGTAATTTAGATTACCTTGACCGAGGCATTTGTTTTCAGCTCAGGGACTAGAAACCCGAGACTTGACAGAATGGGAACTGTCTCATTTTCATTCTAACATCAGGGAAAGGGACATTCAGAGAGGTAATTTAGATTACCTCGAATGGGACGAGGCATTTGTTTATAACGAGATTACTATGAACTCAAATTGGGACTGTGATGTTTTCATTCAAAGGGACAAGGACAGTGAGACATGTAAGTTTTATTACCTCGAGACCATGCTTTTTCAGCTTGATGAATATGAGCGTCGAGAATTTAAAAATCTGGGCATCCTCACTTCTATTATACCAGTCTCACTTCCGTTATACCATCAGGAACATAGTCATTCCAAGCCAATTAACCAGCCTGATATAGAACATTAAGTGAAAATTCAGAATCCAAACTAAATTCAAGTAACATGTCCCAAATCAAAAGCATGATTTTAAGCTTTTTAAGGAATGGTTAAAACTATTGGTAATGAGATTCACCTCATAAACTTCAAATTCCACAGAAGAAGTCTCTGGTTTGTAGAATGTTCAAGCTGAGAGGTCCATAGTCTCTATCTTGAATGATCCTTTGCTTAAATTTCAGGAACTGGAACTGCATCCAAGAGAACTTAAAGTCACAAAGACGAAAAAATATTGTAATCTTTTGAAGACTAAATATTTTAAACAGAGAGATTACAAGCATCGCAAAAACAAAATTTAGAGATCTGAAACAAGCCGAGATTGTATTGAAAAACTCCCAAATCGACAATGTAAAAACAAAGAGAAATAATCGGTAAACGATGAAATTGAGGATCTGTAAACAAAAACCCTAAAAATTGATAATGCAATTCCTAAATCTAACACTTTGCTTCTCAGATCAGAGAATCAGTAAACCCTAAAACTATGTCTTCTTATGGAAATCCACGAATTTGAAATCAATTTCATAGACAGAATCTAAAATAAAACGATGAAATAATGGGAAGAAGAGTAAAGGAACCTACCGATTCAATCCAAAACTCCGCTCATCCTCCATCTCTCCGTTAATGAAGTCGAACCATCGCAATCGCTAAGAATCCATAAAAAAAGTCAACCATCATCCCCACAACACTACTGATTGATTCATCCAATATTGATTCCGCTACAGAACTAGCGGTGAACGTGAGCGAGAGAGAGAAGGAGAATGAAAATTAGGGTTTTGTCTCTTTGGTTCTTTCGATTAATAGAGAAAGAATATTGTGCATACTTGAAATTAGAATAAATAAGAAAAATATCACAACGGTCATAAAAATGTGTGTGTGCTTAAATGACGTGGCAGTCTAAAACGGTCCAAAAATATTTCATGTTTAAATGCGGTTAATCTTTTAAATTAATTAAAATTTTCATATGATTGCTTCGTAAGATATGAACATAATGTCCTTTTGTCGTCGTATTAGTTTAATTAAACTTCAAGTAATAATTTTATTTTTTACTTAATACTAATATTAACTAATTATTTCAGTTTGTAAAATAAGTATATAAACACCATTGTAAAACATCTCGAGAAGATAATTTATTTGTATACGTTTTATTCAATTCATCAATACACATTCAGTTTTTTTTTTAAAAAAAATTTACGATCTCAAAAATCATCTTAGAATTTTCCTAATTTTGTCGTTTTTGTAAACTAACTCTGTTTCAAAAGAAATTTAAAGATAGACGTTACGAAACAAAACAAAAAAAAAAAAGCAACGTCCACTAAAAAATTTAAAACGAAAATAAATTATTTGACAGAACATAAAGCGAATAAAATAGAAAATAAAAAGCTTTCTCACTCCCAAACGATATTTTCAGTTTCAGAATTTTGAAAAACTTTTTGATCAAATCAAAGAGTTATGGAAGAGGAGAGAAACAACAACGTCACGGCTTTGAACAATCCGCATCATTCCACCGCCGATCTTCTTTCTTGGTCTGAGATCCGCCGTCCTGACTATTCCACCGCCGCTAACCGCTCTAACCAGGTTTGTTTTTTTCCGGCGAGAAATAATTGTTTCGTGTGATTCCGTTTCCGTTTATGTTTCCGACGAGTGCGGTTTTTATTCTGATTGTTCCTTTTTTTTTTTTTGTTTCTCAGCCGTCTGATGGAATGAGCGAGGTACTTGGCGGCGGCGGTAGGATCACCAACGCGGAATCCGAATCGCTTAATAAGAAGTAATCGATTTCCACATGCAAATTGGTTCAATGTTTCTTCTCCATTTTGTTGAATTTATCAGATTTGTTTGATTTAGGGTTTTGGTTTGATTAGTTGATGAAATTAGGTTTTTAATCTGCTTATTGAGAAAATGGTTATAAAATCGGAGTTGTTGTTTAGTGTTTCGTATAGGAAGAACTGTTCTGGGCATAAGTTGAAAGAAATGACTGGTAGTGACATATTCTCTGATAATGGTAAAGATGATCCAAATCATCAGACAAGGATCCATTACCATCAGGATCAGGTACTTGTCTCATCCTCCTTTGTACTCGTTTTAACGATTCAGTTGATGGGGAAACTGGGAATGATGTAATGTGTAATTGGTTTTGTAGCAAAGCCAGATATCTTTCAGCGGTGAAGAGAATGTGACTCCTAAGAAACCAGTTACTTTAAACGAGGCTGCAAAGCAAAAGGAGTTGAGTAGGACTGTAGAGACGGAAGCTGATTCAAAGAGCAAGAAGAAGCAGGTATCAAACACCAAGAGCAGAGCAATGAGTGGTCACGACATCTTTGCATCTCCTGAAAAGCAACCTCGCCGCTTGTTAGCTGTGACGCAATCGGAAGTTAAAGGAAATAGGAACACGGAGGAATCTGCACCGAGGAGCTCGCGTGCATCTGTTAAAGTCTCTACCGTAAGTCTGTCCTTGACTCCTTGTACTGTGATGATATTAGGATGGCTTGAGAACTGACCTGCTTCATGTTCTTTTTGTTAACAAGGGGCAAAGCGGCAACAAAATGTTTAGTGAAGAACATGTTGTGAAGTCATCAAAGAAGATACATAACCAGAAGTTTCAAGAACTGACAAGCAATGGTATCTTCAAATGTGACAAAATCCCTCCTGGTTACTCTGAAAAGATGCAAAGCTCGGCTAAAAAGCGGGAAATGAGCGGCCACAATATATTTGCGGACGGGAAGTCGGAATATCGCGATTACTATGGTGGCGCAAGGAGACCTCCCGGTGGTGAAAGCAGTATTTCATTGGTCTAAATGAAACCTCAGACACTCTTACTAAGTTTATGTTTAGGATCTTAGGATTTTAGTTTTCTTAAGTTTGTCTACCCAAAAGTGGTTTGTGTTCGTGTGGTCTTCTCTTTTGTCTAATGCTCTTCATTCATAATAAATATTAACTTCAACACGGACTTGTGTGTTCTGTTATCTATCTTTTCATTTCTCTATCAATGAAGCGTGTGTACGACGTCGTTTCTCATGAGAGAAAGATTATATTAAAAAATAGTTAACAACGACTCCACCACTGGGGATCGAACCCAGAATCTCTGGTTTCGTAGACCAGCGCCTTATCCATTGGGCCATGGAGTCATCTTTGGTTTATAAGATTAAATTAAGTTGAAGAACAAACTATGATAAGTGAATGCTTCTGGATTGAGTTCTCTCAAGTGCCTATTTTTAACAGATAATGGAAAATCTATTGTGTAAACATAGTGTACATACAACTATATAACTCTATATTTATATAAACAATTGTCACTTGGCCGACAATTTATTAAAAAAATAATGTCACTTGTGGGTTATATAAAGGACAATGCTGTTTAGTGTGTTATCTTGTCTTGTTCAATCCAATCCAAAAGTTTCATATGTTTGGTTTTTAGATTTTTATAGATACGGATCCACTTGTCCTCAAATTTCCTTACAAATAATTTAGGTGGCATTTCAAAGAAGAGTTCACGTAAGTCTTTTTGTGGTGTATAAAACACGGTCATACATATATACCATGATGTGGTATTATTGACTTACACAAGCACAAAAGATAAATAACTTGTTATGTTAATTAGTTAATAGGTCCGGTCCATTAGCAAAAATAACGCAGTGCCGTGGAGGAGACTCGAGAGGCTTCGTTCTTGGTTCTTTTGGTGTCAACGGACGTGTATATAAATAGAGAAAAGGGATTAATATGGAGACATTTTCAGAAGCCGTCCTAGTCGTCGTCGTCGTCGTGCTAGGCGGTTTCTTTACTTTCCAAGAATAGGCTCTTCTTCTTCTCTCTATCGAATACGTTCAAACATTTTCTCCCAAGAATTCAAAGAAGAATAATGGCATCGGTGTCACCATTGGCGAAATATAAACTAGTGTTCTTAGGAGATCAATCTGTTGGTAAAACCAGCATCATCACTCGTTTCATGTATGATAAGTTCGACACAACCTACCAGGTACATCATATATCAACACGGTCATTGCATTGATTCTCTGTTCTATATGGTTCTGTCTTCTTTTTTTTTGTCATTGAAGTATTTGATTTGACTCAAATGTCAAATAAAGATTAAGAAATACTAATTAATTATCACATTACCATCTATTGTAATTAATCACGTATATATATAGGATCAATGTGATCATGTTCGTGTTGATACAATGCTGAATGTAAAATAATTTCATTGTTTCATTCGCAGGCTACTATTGGAATTGATTTCTTATCGAAGACTATGTAGCTTGAAGATAGAACTGTGCGTCTACAGCTAGCTATGGTAAATAAATTTGTAAAAAGATCGGTTTTTCGCAACGTAAAAGCTAATATATATTTTGTTATGTTTAATTAGGGATACTGCAGGACAAGAAAGATTCAGGAGTCTGATACCAAGTTACATTAGAGATTCTTCTGTTGCTGTAGTTGTTTATGATGTAGCTAATAGGCTCTCATTTCTCAACACATCCAAGTGGATCGAAGAAGTCCGCACCGAAAGAGCTGGTGATGTTATCATTGTTCTTGTTGGAAACAAGACCGATCTTGTTGAAAAAAGGTAAAGCATTACAACTTCTCTGTTTTCACTTGAACATATAATCATGTTTTGTAATTGTTATTGTGTGTGTGTCTCTCTCTTTGTGAAATTGGTTAGGCAAGTCTCAATTGAAGAAGGAGATAGCAAAGGTCGTGAATACGGAGTTATCTTTATTGAGACAAGCGCGAAAGCAGGATTCAATATTAAGCCTTTGTTTAGAAAAATAGCTGCGGCTTTACCGGGAATGGAATCGTATTCAAACACTAAAACTGATGATATGGTTGATGTGAACCTAAAACCGACTTCTAATTCATCCCAAGGCGATCAACAAGGAAGAGGTTGTTCGTGTTGATCATGATCAGAAGAAAGATATTATTAAGAGATATATATTTGATATGATGATCAAGAAGAACCTTAATTAGAGATCTCAGACTAGTTCCATCAAGTATCATTGTGATCTGTCCAAATTGCTATATTTGGCATGTTAGTTGTGAAATGTTAGTTTTTTGAGTTGTGTACCAAGACTCTCTCTACATGTGAGTGTATTTTCACTTCAATACACTTTTAATTTAGCTAAGATTTTCTCAAATGATTACAAATATCATCTCAACTGATTGTTCAATTAATATGTCGAGTTCATTCATATATCCAAAACCATGTAACGTTGTAACGCATGCTATATATACACATGTGGTTAAATTCGTATAAATTTGTCTTGGTAGTGTTCAATGCGTTCGAAGATACATGGCAACATCTCGTAGGGCAATGGACCACATGTCTTATCGTCTCAATGATCATGTTCAGCAATGATCATGATCATTGGTGGTTTTCTTATTATCAAATCAGGGGTGGGTTACATAGGTGGTCACAAGCTCTCTTAATAGGAGTTGTGTACTGAGACTCACGAAACTTAATCCTAAATAAAAGAAGATAAAACCAAACTGAAACAAAACATTACCCTATTTAAACTAGAAATCGAACAATAAAAACCAAACACCGACTCTATCTTGATGTGCACCAACCATAGGCTAATATGCATGGCTCACTTTTAATTGGCTCTATTATTTTATGCATACATGTTAGGCTTTTCTTGCGAAACTTCCACACCTAACTTCTCCATAAACTCCCATAAACTCTTATCCGATGATCCTCCAGGAGCCACCGCGGCTTCTGCCTTGGCCTTCCATTGCAAAGCATTCTTCCTCAACTCCTCGGCTTTCTCCCCAACTGTCGCTTCCAAAAGCTTCTCCGTCATTTCCTCCCTCAGGACAACCCTATCCTCCATCGCTCCACGACCAAGCCTAACTCCCATCTTGAAAACATCAATGAGATAAACCGCGTTGGTGACTTGATCTCCCCATTGCGGTAAACAAACCACCGGAACTCCAAAAGACAAAGCCTCCATTGTGGAGTTCCATCCACAATGAGTGACGAAGCACGATACTGAAAGATGAGCCAAGACTTGCTCTTGTGGACACCAATCCACAATCTTTCCTTTACCTCTTCTAGTCGCCTCTAGTAGTTCTTGAGGCAAGACATTAGTAGTGACATTTAGTGCTTTCACTGGAGGTCTAATCACCCACAAGAAGGATAAACCCGATTTCAAAACTCCGTGAACGAACTCTTCCATTTGTTCTTGCTTGAAGTATGCAATCGTCCCGAAAGAAATGTAGACAACAGATGATTTTGGTCTTGAGTCTAACCACTCGAGACATTGATCCGACGGCTTGCACATGTCAGCACTTACATCAGAGGTCACCTCCTTATAAGCGAATAGAGAAAGCGGTCCGATAGTTTTGATTGGACATAAATTAGACATGTACTCCAGCAATTCTTGTTCCAAGGCATCAAAGGAATTGATTAGAACACAAAAGGGCTTCTTCAAGTTCTTGAACTGTCCAAGAATCGCTTGTCGAAACCCGGAAAATTTAGAAGACGGATGGAGAAAGTTAGGGATCTCGTCGTGTTTCAAGATAGGAAGGCAAGGGAGCTTAACATCAAGCCGAGGCTCAGTTTCTGTCGGGAAAGAAACAGAACCATTTTGGTAATGGTAATAAGCAGAGAAACAAGCACAAGACTGAACCCAAAGAAGTGCACAAGGAATGTTTAACTCTTCGGCCGCATCACAGACCCATGGAATGAAAGGATGATTGATCAGACACGAGACAGGCTCCTTCTTTTCCTCGTATCTTGTCACGAGTTTGCACACTTCACTTTTCCCCATATCTTCTAGATGTGACATGTACAAAGAGAAATCACCTTTGCGGTCATCTTCCTCTTTCCATTTTTTGTCGAAAGACTCGAATCGGATTGCACCGGAACCAACCGGTTTAAGCTCACTGTCGACGATCTTGTTGGCTTGTCTCATTTTACTCGCCCAATACTCTGGAGTGACGAAGGTAACGAGTGTTCCCTTTGAAGCCATTAGCTTGCCAAGACAAAGAAGAGGAGAGACGCTGCCTTGTCCTATAAATGAAACGAGCATTACATGAACTGGACTTGAAGGTGAAGATGATTCAGAAGCCATCTTGTCTAAGTACAGTATATGATAACAAGAATGATATCTTTATTCACACTTCACTAACTCACTCACTCTCTCTAGCTAGTCTCTACCACACATTTTACTTGTTCACTCTCGTCATCTCTTCAATTATTATAAAGTTTTAATTAAGGTTAGGTAAGATCCAAATTTATTATTGTCGTGTCCCCAACTAAAAATAGTCCCAGATAATTTATTATTTGTCATATCCTTTGTCCCAATACAATACTCAATTCAACAAAATGTTTCCCACGTTTTGATATATCGTCGTCGGTTTAATTGTATGTATGTAAGTATGATATAATAAAAATAATTTCATTTTAAGTATTATTTTGCATATTGATGAAGTTATAGAAATGTGATAATTGTATATGTTTTTGAAGATGAAAAAGATATTTATATTTATAGCTTCTAAATATATACACAATGTTGCGTCGTTTGATATATATGTGAAAAAGCTGTGGAACATATTAATGTGGTCATTTGTTTCGCTTCACTCTCACCGTTAGGTCAAACATTTGATCATTGCCGCACTTGTTAACGAGTCTAATAAACCGTCGTGACGCGGTCTAAAAACCAAAAAAACCGCTGTAGATCAAGTGCAGTTTGTTTAATATACAAATAAAGTTGGACCATGGCGTTTTGTTATCCGCCCTAAAAATAGAGTGAACTAAATCGCTGACAGTCCATCTCTATCGCTGTAACCATTTATACCCAAATTCAATTGTGCTTGGTCCACGAGCTTCGTTTCAGATTGATGAAATCTAATTTAAGGTAGTTTTAATTATGTTCAGCAATAATCAATTTGAAATTAGAAGAGGAATTGAATTTTGGAAGAAAAAAAGAAGAAGGAAATCACATTAATAACAAATGTCATTTTTATTTCTTTGCTCAGTCTTACAAGTGTGAAAATTTTCATCACCTTTATATGCATAATTATAAATTTATGTTTATCTTTTTATTTTGGTGACAGTTTGTGCTTATCTCTCTATAAACAATAATTGTAACTATAACCATTTATAGTTAAATGTATTATAGATTTTACATTATTATATCTTTAGTTAAATTAAAAAATATTAAAGTTGAGTTCTAATTTTAACTATAATATTAATTAGTATAATTTTTATAATTAAGATGAAAAAATAATCTAATTTAATTTAATAAAATTAGAAAAGGATTTGATATTCCGTATTCCTAATTGGATGGATATATGTACTTTTTCATCCATAAAAGGGTTATTTTTAATTTTTTGAAAAGGGCTTCAAATTCTTAAAAGTTATTAGTAATATAAGATAACTTTTTGTTTTGATTGGTCAACAAAAATATAATAATTTCTTAATATATTGTTTTCTTATCCATAAAATATTTAAATCACATAAATACTTTACCTTACTAGGAAAAATTAATTTGCTAAGTTTAATAACTTAACATAATAACTTCATTGGAAAAGGTTGAAAATGATAGATTTCATAAGCTTTTTGTTCTATTATATATACATATACAAACTCATATGAAAACATCTCTTCTCATTTCTAACTTCACTCAAAAACTTAACAAGGTATTCTTATTATTATGGGTTACTCGGCAGGTGTAAATCAAATAAGCTTTTTCACAGATGTATGTGGCTTCTGCAAGAAAAAGATTTACCCAAAGCTTGATGACATCTACATGTACAAGTACGTTTTTTTTTCTTCTTCTTCTAAGCATTTGATTTAGTTTATTATATCGTGTAATAATATATCTAAATTGTATCCTCTTGTCGTCAAAATATAGTGACACTCCCTTTTGTTCGGAAGAATGTCGAGAAAAACAACAAGATGCTGACAAAGAGAAAACAAAAGTGGAGAACATGGAAGTGATAAAGAGAGATGAAGCTTGAAAAATCAGATTCATAACAATGTAGATGTGAAAAATTCATAAAATAACATCATCCTAGTTTATGTTCTTATCCAGAAATTAGGAATGACAGTAGTTTTCTTATATGTATTAATAATAGTCAGTATTTCCATTTTCAATAGTCAAAATTCATCATGTATTATTATCTACTATATTGTAAGAGATAAGATATGGTGAAAATTTATTGACATATGTACCAAATTCCTATATAGTAAAAAATCTCATATAATGTTTGGGTTAAGTGTCTTTGTTGCATGCATTTTTTATTTGTTGTGAAAATACTTATCTAAAGAATGATGCGTTGCATCAACAAATATGTCGATCGAACGAAAAAAAAGAAGAAGAAAGAGTTCTTATAATCGTCGTGAATCAGTACTATGCAAGGTTTGCTTTAAACGTAATCGTCTTGGCTCATAAAGATTCGGGTATGGTAAGTAATATACTTCTCAAGTGAATTTAACGTAGTGCCTATTGATAGGATTGGATTTCATATCTTGATGAAAAATATCTAAGCTCATTTTACGTGATAATCTTGATTCCAATATCTCATTATTCACACGTTGAAAGGAAATATCTTAAATATTCTAGTCTCTAAATGAGGAATATTGCTCGTATTCATGGATGTTTCGAAAGATCTTGAAACTTTGTCGTAAGCTTTCTCTCTTCTCAAAAACAGGATTGAGAATGGAGAAGAAACGTTCTTTGGTGGGATACATGGACTCCGTTTGGTCCACTAATCCACTTCTTGGATCCGCAAGGCCCAACAAATCTGGCATCCCTCTCTTCTCACTCTTTAAGTTATACCGTCTCTTCCTTCAGGTTGCTCTGACCTTGAACTGCAGCTGCTTTCCTACATTACAACTATTCCTATATCTTCTGCAAATGATGTTCCAATCTGGCAAGTTGGTGATTCTGAAAGCAGACTATTCGTTTCTAAAGATATTTGGAATAGCATTAGAGACCTCAAGCCAATAGTATCATGGCATCCATTGGTTTGGCACAAGGCTTTGATTCCTAAACACTTTACCACTTCGTGGTTGTTTACTTGTCTTATGTGTGGTACTTGCTTCATGGAGGTTAGATATTGAGAGTACTTGTATTATGTGTGGTAAATTTGAAGAATCTCGGAACCAACTCTTCTTCGAATGCATTTTCTTCTTAGAGATTTGGACTGGAATTACCTAAATGCTCCTTCTTGGTGGCAACAAATTCTCTCTTGGTTTCCTAATGCATCTTCTTCTCGTCATATTATCCATAACTTTGCTTCAAGGTTGGCGTGTTCACGATGGTGTCACTCTCCCTCCTCACCTTATTCTTCTAAGGATTCTAAGAGAGGTAAAGTACAAAGCCACGGCTTTGCATCTTGGTGCTGCACTTCTTACAATATGGTCTGTCTGATGACTCTCTTCTCCTTTCACCTTGTATTTCATTATGAGTTTGTGATTTTTCCCTTCTCTCCTCTTCACCTCTTCTTTTGCCTGCTTGTTATCTTTGTTTAGTTGTATCTAGTTCATTTTGTATCTCCCAGTATCTCTTTAATTAATGAAACCCCTTTAACAAAAACAAAAAAATCCAAAAACTATGTGAACCGAATTTGAATCGATTCTTAAAAATACTTAAATATGTACGTTTTAAACCCAAAAATATTGTTATCTCTTTAAACCGAAACATTCAGAACCAAAACCGAATCGAATCTGATATCCCCAACCGAATCGAATCTGATAACTCATATGTAAACCGAATTTATCTTAAATACAAATAAACATCTAAATATTTATATTTTCTACTCATAACTCAGATATCCAAATTTTATATTATAAATCCGAATATATTAGTTGCTTTTGAGTAATTCGTATATATTTGTGTTAAAAGTAACAAATTTTTTTCCTGATAATTTAGGTACTTTTTGTTTACATATGGGTAAAAAATAACCAATGTTTTTTTACGGATATTTTGAATATTTTCATATAAATTTAAGAAAATTTGAGTAAAAACCCAAACTCGACCTAAAACCAAAAAAAAATAGGGTATTTTCCGTTTTCAACGTAATTACCTGATTTGAACTGAGTTTTCTAAATACCCAAACGGATTTAGAACCCTCTACCCAAACATACCCTATATTCGAAAAATACCCAAAGCTAGAAATTTTTTGCATACCCTTTTTTTTTTTTTGAATGCAATGTTAAATTATATTCAAAAGAAAAAATAAACGTTTTTACATCAATTGCATCGTTTTTGGACTAAAAATCGAAAAGATTAAGAATAGACGACAAAATTATGTTCTAGTTTGAAGCCACAATTGGAAGCCCACTGCAAACCGGAGATCCCCCATTTTCCGAAGTGAAGAAAGTTGATCTCGAACTTGTTTATCAATCTTTTTCGTGAGCAGAGGTGGTGGTATTAGTGCGTTGCCATGTCTCCTACAATTCCGCTCTCTCCAAATTCCATAGACAACAGCTTGAAAAGCATACCGTAGCAGGAAAGTATGAACCCGATCTTGTTGAGGTGTAGAGATTAATGCGAGGAGTCTTGTCCAATCTGTTGTATAATGCGAAAGGAGGAGTCCCTTATCAGTTGAATGCCAAATTTCAGAAGCATATGAGCAAGCAAAAAACAAATGGTCCCTTGTTTCCACAGCTTGTTGACATAACTCACAAGTTCCCGAGAGACCCCGAGACCACTTAACCATCTTTTCACCCGTTGGTAGCCGGTCATGGACTGCCAGCCACACACAAAAGGTGAACTTCGGAGTAGCATGAGGAAAAATGAATAACTTCGGAGTTGCAGACCCTTTTATCAAACAAAAAAAAATGAATAACTTGGTAGATCATGTATGGAGGAGAAACAATGAATTTGAAAATCTTGGATGAAACAAAGACTATATATGAAGATGCTGCAACTAGTACATACCCTCCAAGCTATATATTGCCTTCAACCTAAGCTCTCACTGATATCAAGATTAAGTTGTCGGCCAATTGCTTCATAGAATAAGCAAAACACTTGAAATGCTTCTTACTTACCCGTTTGGACGGATCCTTACTTAGCTTGACTCGATACACTAACACGTGACGTACGTACGGACCAATTATTCTATATAAAACACTACGTCATTTCTATCTTTGAGAAAAAAAAGATTCATAACCTTCTCAATCTCATGCTCAT